CAACATTGGTCCACAGGGGGAGCCACAGCGATCGGTCGCATTTTAGCCATTTTGAAGCATTTTTCTGTTGTTATAGCGCCACCCAGTTGCCAATTAGAGTTAAATTTCTCCAGTCACCTTGAGGCGTCCTGTTCTACATATCTACCAAGTTTAGTAAAAATCCATATGGCGGTTAGGCCTAGATAAGAAATGAGCTCTCTAGCGCCCCCATTTTGTTTGATGGGGTCAATAATGGAGGGGTCCCCTCAGATTATGTGTGGTCATATGCCTACAAAGTTGCGTGGTGATGGGTGAAACCCTTGAGATGTTATACACCTTTATGTGATGAGCCACGCCCTCCGCAATATTCATTGCCTTATAGAAGCTCAGTTTTAGTAAGTTTTCCAACTTTTGCCAAGAGGGAACTTTAGATATTGGTCCCTAGATTATGTTCACCCAGTTTCATGCAGATCGCTCAAACTTCCTAGGAAGAGATCCATTTGAAGTGTTTTTCAAAAAATTCAAAATGGCGGAAAATCTATATAAGCGGAAGTTATGGGTTCTTGAGGCAAATGTGTTCCTCATGAGGAGAGGCATCTCTGTGCAAAGTTTCATGTCTCTACCACATACGGGGCATGAGATATTATATTATATTATATTATATTATATTATATTATATATAAAGTAGTGTATTAATCAAGTAATAAGAAATAATCTTTAGAATTAGTTGTTAGATTAGTCGATTAATCGCAAAATAATTGTTGAACTGAGCGATAGAAACGTCATCATGAGGCGTCACAGTCAGCGCAGTTCAGCCTCCGGTCCACCAGGTGGCGGTGAGGCGCCATTACAGGGGTTGACGAGCCGCCATGACGGAACAAAAGGAAGGAGACGCTCCGCCTGCGGTCAGTCCGAGCTGAGGATCAGCTGCAGTCGTGACCGTCGCTCCTCTGAGATAAACGGTAAATCTGTCTTTAAATGTAACGCTGTGCTTCAAATGAAATACTAAACGTGTCGATGACAGTATGTAGCGATACAAGATGGCGACTGTCACTGTAGATGATGCGTGTGTTTGACGGATGGTCGGAGATTGTTGCGCAGCTCAGCGACGAGGAGACGCAAGATGTGATTGTGTAACGTGTCTCAGCGGTTATTTCGGATATGAATCAGCTGATTGACATAAACAACTCCTCGTGCTAAAATATGAATGTGTAGATGTGTGTGTGTGTGTAGTTGTAGTTAGTGTGGGTTGTGCAGCTCGTGCAGAGGCTGTGTTCAGTCCAGTCTGACGGGTTGAGCCTGCAGCAGGTGAGCACGTGGTGCAGGTAGACTCGTCGTGGGGGCGTCACGTGCTGCTCATTGGATGTTATTGATTCTCAGTTTATCGATCAGTTCAAGGCTGATTATATGAAACGTGGCCAGGGATTGTTTTTTATCATTAGTTCTTAATTCCCATGATCCCTTGTGTTGCAAGGAGGCACGCCTCCTGGACCCTGCTGGACCCGCAGCCCCAGACCACCGGGGGCAGTTTCAGTGGAGGGAGGCCTGGTTCTCTTACCGTGCTAAATGCATGGCAGTGATCAAGCTGCACACGTGTTGGTGTGTTGGAGGTGACAGAGGTGTGAACGTGGTGGTTGAGGATCTATTTTGTGTGTGAACGTGTGAGTTGTCAAAGGCCAAACCTGCACAGTGTCTTTTCTTGATCCAGAGAGAGCCCCCTCTCTCCGGATTTGTGCGTGGTGTAGTCTGGCCGGTCATTTCTCCACCACAGCCACGAAGAGGAGCCTGAAACTAGAGGAGGCTCCTGCTGCGGTCTTGCAGTCCCTGGAGAAGGTTCCTGAGGAGGAGATGTTTTGTGAGGAGGAGGAGGATGTTCCCAGCAGTGAAGATGAGAGCCTGGAGGGGTCGGGGGAGGAATTCCTGCCAGGCAAAGAGGAGCCCTGCAGCTCATCGGAGGAGGAGGGGGTGGACTGGGAGGAGTTGGAGGAGGACGACAGCACCTCTCCGTGGAGATGAAGAAATGGGGACATCCTGTGGTCTCCCTCACATGAAGAGGCCCAGCACTTCTTACCCCCTCCCATCTTGACCCCGGGGCCGACTCACTTCGCGCTCGCCAGGATCCCCGACACTGCGTTTGAGCTGTGTTTCCCCAAGGACACCCAGCAGCAAATCCTGCACTTCACGAACCTGCAGGGGAGGAGGTCATTAAAGGAGTGGAAGGACGTGAGTGACGAGGAGCTGCGTGCCGACCTGGGGCTGCTGATCCTCTTTGCCAGGGCCGGACCCAGAGGGAGGAGGAGGAGGAGGAGGAGGAGGAGGAGCAGCCAGGGCCCTCGCCCTCTAAAATGCGGAAGCAGTGTGTCTCTGGCCCAGGACACAAAATGGTTACCAAGCAGTGCTCCTAATGTGAAGCACATGCATGTGAAATGCACCTCACAGTGATCTGTGGTGTGTGTGCCTTAAACCATGAACACACGCACATGATGAAACACACGACGTCTTCTGACAAAAAGGGTATAAAAACATAAAAGATATTAAAATAATCAGATGGGTGGGTTGGTTGGGGCTGAAGTTGTTTAAAAGGTTTGATGCAGTGAAAGTAGAAAAAAAAAATACTACGTTTTATTGAGGATGAAAAGTGTAACTTCATTTTAAGGGGCCTCAAAGGTTAAATTAAACACTTGCCATTAGTAGTTAGGAGTATTTCCTTCTCACACTACTTTGTTTCTTTTGTACGTCTTGTGAGTTACAACTGTACTTTTCACTACATTAACACACTAACATCACACCGTACATTGTTTTTTACACCAAACAGACTAAAGTGTAGAAAGTACAGCTGTAACAATTAGTCGATTAATGGATTAACAGAAGAAACTGTAATTAATTAATCTGCCTGTTGTTCTCTTGATTAATCGTTTTGATAATAAAGTGAATGGTGAAAGACGTCCTGTGTAGTTTTCTAGAGCCGAAGGTGATGTCTTTTAATTACCTGACCAGCGGCCCAAAAATCAAAAGTTAATAACTATATGGTGATGTATGTCAAAGAGAACTCCAGTGTGGGATCAATAAAGTGCCGTCTATCTATCGAAAGCATCGATTTCTCACAGAAAGACGAAACAATTCGACGTTTTTAAATCTAAATAGTTGCCGAAAATTAACCAGGAACTATTTTCATACTTTTTCACCCTAAAACATTTCAAAGGTCCAAATTTCCAAATGTGATTTGCTGCTTGATATTTCTGTAATTCTATTGAGAACAGTAGTGATGGTCAAATGAAGCTTCATGGACAATTTTCTTTATTTTCTGACTCCACCAGATGGCACTCTTGGTTTATAGATAAAGGCTGAAGGACTGGCAGTGAAGTGTGCTCTCAAACCTTTGTTGAACAGACGGCGCCATCCAGTGCTTTCAGAGAATAAAGACAGTGGTTCATGAAGCTTCATCTGGCCATCACTAGAGAACAGTCTGTAATTAGCAGTTTGAGATGAGCTCCACCTCGACTAGCCGCAACCGTAAAAAATATTCCTGCCTCTTCGTGACGACGTGAGAGAGATTCTGGGCTGCTGACGATGTTTTAAACAACACTGATGTTTCATTAGTCTTTTGTTAATAACCTTCTTCACTGAAAACTCATGATGTGACTCCGTGTTGGTTCTGACGGCCAACAGCGAACACTAACCAGCTCTCCCTCTGCTGATATTAACACGGATCTGTTGTTCACAATGTCACACTACCAGGAAACCATACGGTGTGTCCTGTGACACCCAGTAGTGAGTTTACCGCCTCCTTTCATCCTGACGTTGCAACAGGGAAGATCTCTGTTTGGCTCGGACACATTTTCTGTTGTCTCCAGAACAACAGGACACACAATCGGCCACTGCCATCGGCGAGTGTCCTCTTGTTTAGCCTGGCGACAGTCGACACAGCGAATATCGGCTGATACTGAGGTTTGGCCAATAATCGGTGCGTCCTTACTGTCTTACATTCCTGTATGAGTCATAATAATCTAATAGTTCAACAGCCAACTTTTCTTTCTCAGTTTTAATAGCCTGTTTTTTTCCCCTGATTAAACGTAGATGCATTTAGTGAAGTAACGTGTTCAATACAGGACTTTTCTTTGTGGAGGAGTAATGTACAGTGTGGTGGTGCAGTAACAGGTCTGAGTGCGTCCTCACCACTGAGTCTGATGCAGTTATTCAAGGTCTGATAATGTATTAAAGTGCTCTCACCTCCTGGTTTTATTTCTTGGAGATAATTCACAAGCTTTTGTTTTTCCTTTCAGGTTTTATATGTTCCAGCTCGTTAGACTGCTGAGGATGTCGGCTTCACCTCTGGACTGTCCCTGCAGTTTGCACAAGGTCAGATCATTTAAAACGTTGGATTGATTTAGTTATTAGCACCCTGCATCACCCTGCGCTGTGATGACATTATTTCCTGCCATTCGTAGTTTCCACCAGAGGTCGAAAGACCAAAGACGGTCCAAACCTTCCTTGGATGTCTGAGAGCTTTTGCAACACATCAGTATTTTTGTTATGAAAAGCAATTCTCAGATTGAAAGTTGGACTGAATGATGTTCGCTCAGTTAAATCAGAAGTTAACACCAGAAACGTCCTCACAGGGTCACACCGTGGACCTCCAGGGACACCGTACAGAAGCTGCTCACGATGGATGATGCGACTTATTCCTCAGAAGGTGGAAATTCATCAGCTCCAGTGAACTTGGGGACAGGTGAGCAGATCAGTCTCAACACTGATTTCAACACGGGTGACTGTGCCTTTTATTTAAAGACAGAATGTGTGTGTTTCTGCATACATACCTTAAAGTGACTTCAACAATAACAACTGTATTTTGTTTAGTGTGTACTAAGACCAAATGTTTGCATCAGTGTCGTCTTCTTCTTCTTCTTCTTCTTCTTCTTCTGTTACACATCGAATGCTTTTGCACTTCTGGGTCACTTACAGAAAGCCACTAGTGACACCTCATGGGTGTCACAGGAATTACGTTCTGTCATCAATGCTGGAGCTGTCCTTGATCGTGCAAACTAAATTTAAGAAATTGGACGATACAATTTACCAGAGCAGCCCTGTGTCTTTTCAAATGACTGTTTTTCGACCGCAGTCCGGATGACAAATGACAGACCGTACCTTTGTGTGTGATCTTCTGAACGTCCTCAGCTCTACTCTGTAGAGGAGCTCGGGTCTTTTCGCTGTGATGACATTATTTCCTGCCATTCGTAGTTTCCACCAGAGGTCTGACAGACCAAAGACGGTCCAAACCTTCCTTGGATGTCTGAGCGAATTTAAAAGCAGGAACTGTTATAATCCTTGTCTGTTTGTAGCTTCATGGCTAACCTGTCCATCTCGTCATTTTCAGGGTTCCAGGCTGGCTGTGCCTTCATCTTCTCTGTCCAGTCACCAGTGACGGTGGTTATTGACTGGTACGTAATTATTAAAGTATATATTTGAATACAGACTGACGGCCTGCAGTTCGCTGTGATGATGCTTTTTCCTGCCATTCGTAGTTTCCACCAGAGGTCTGACAGACCAAAGATGGTCCAAACCTTCCTTGGATGTCTGAGCGAACAGGAATACTCTATACCTTGTCTTGTGACGTCTCTCTGCTTCCACAGCTGACTTTATCTCCATCTGTCTTTCAGGGCGAACGTCTCGGTGGATGATTCTGTTCATTCAGCACCTGCACCAAGATGGTGGTGATCAACGCCTGCACAGCTGGTGTGTATGTTTTAGGATTACAGTATTTGTGCTGTTAAGGCCCTGACACACTAAGCCGACAGTTGGCCATCAGTCGAAGTCGGGCCGTCGGTGAGCGTCTGTCGCCCTAGTTTTTGTGGTGTGTGCCGCACCTTCGGCACTTAATCATCGGCGGTTTTTCGGCCGATTGAGCATGTTGAATCGGCGGCAGAGCTTGTCGGTGAGAGAGATCACTCTGATTGGCTGTTCAGGTTTTATTTCCTCGCCCCTGTAGCGAGTGAATCTGCCTGTAGTGAAACCGGGGCTAACCGGTGCTTCCTCCTCAGGCTCCACTTCACTCAGCTGCCCCACAGACCCGCTGCTTCTTCACACTTTAACCTGAATAACAAACCGGAGCTAGCTGGGAGCGGCTAGCGGAGCGTTAGCCGCAGCATGACCGGAGGGAAGCACCGCCAGTTAGCCTCCGCTAGTCTCTGAGCTAGCTCCGGCTCTCCGTTTGGATCCAACCGGAGCACCGAGCCCTGGTTTGTTATTCAGGTTAAAGTGGGAAGAAGCAGCGGGTTTATCGGGCAGCTGAGTGAAGTGGAGCCTGCGGAGGAAACACCGGGACCGTCTGGATGTAATAGTCCGTGGAGGTGCTGCGGTGCTCGGCTGCACAGATAGGAAACCCCTCGGCTGACAGGATGTACCACTCTCTCACTCCGCTCTCTCTCACGCAGGCGCAGAACGTACGTGCTACTTGGCCGTCGGATGTAGTCCGTGTAGTGTGTTCAAATGCAACTGACACAGGGTGACGTGAGGCGACGTAGACGACGCAACAGTTGGCTTTCGTCGCCACTGGTTCTTTGTCGGTTTGGTGTGTCCGCACCTTTTAATAACAGCTGCTCTTGTCGCTGTGATGATGCTTTTTCCTGCCATTCGTAGTTTCCACCAGAGGTCTGACAGACCAAAGACGGTTCAAACCTTCCTTGGATGTCTGAGCGAACAGGAACACTCTATACCTTGTCTTGTGATGTCTCTCTGCTTCCACAGCTGACTTTATCTCCATCTGTCTTTCAGGGCGAACGTCTCGGTGGATGATTCTGTTCATTCAGCACCTGCAGCAAGATGGTGGTGATCAAAGCCTGCACAGCTGGTGTGTATGTTTTAGGATTACAGTATTTGTGCTGTTAAATAACAGCTGCTCTTGTCGCTGTGATGATGCTTTTTCCTGCCATTCGTAGTTTCCACCAGAGGTCTGACAGACCAAAGATGGTCCAAACCTTCCTTGGATGTCTGAGCGAATTTAAAAGCAGGAACTGTTTATAGTCTTTGTTTGTAGCTTCATGGCTAACTTGTCCATCTCGTCATTTTCAGGGTTCCAGGCTGGCTGTGCCTTCATCTTCTCTGTCCAGTCACCAGTGACGGTGGTTTTTGTCTGGTACGTAATTATTAAAGTATATATTTGAGTGCAGACTGACGGCCTGCAGTTCGCTGTGATGATGCTTTTTCCTGCCATTCGTAGTTTCCACCAGAGGTCTGACAGACCAAAGACGGTCCAAACCTTCCTTGGATGTCTGAGCGAATTCAGCTCTAGTTTTAATCATTGCCTCCAAAAGTTTTCTGTTTGCTGACATCTGTATGTCCCACAGGTCGAACATAAACCAGGAGCTGGACTTCACTGGTTTCTCTTCGCTGGAGATTTTTCCTCTTTCCTTGTTTTTGTTGTTGTTTACAAAGAAATAAAGATCCAGCTGTTGCAACTGTTGTTGAATTGTTTCTTCAATTGACAGTAGATCACGTAAAAGGTTTCACTGACATAGTGGGATTCTCTCTGAGGAGGGACCAAGTCAGTCAGTCTGTTTCCATGACGACAGAGAAAACGGATTTATTGTGTCAGACTTTTAAAATCCCTGTAAACATGTTAGTGTGACTGAAATGGTCCTAAAGTGAATTTGACTAACACACCCAGATCATGTGACTCCTGCATGTATAGACCCTCGTAGGGCTGACATCACAATGACATCATGCTATCACTTGGAGGTGCAGCTGCCTCTCCCCCACAGGGCTGTAGGCTCCATAGGAGTGTTAAAATGTGTTTGTCTTGTTGTGTTATTGGGAGCCAGAATAGAAGGAGTCATGGCTCAAAACCAGCCGCCACTGCCCGTCAACAAAAACAAAGACAACTATGGTTAAATGTGATAAGACCAAAGGACTGGACGGAGGCCATCATCAAAAATGCTCACATGTGCAGCGCACACTTCATATCAGGTTAGGGAAAAAGTATTTCCTGTTGTAGGGATGAATAAGGTTATGTGTATTAAGGGTTATCATGTCCACCTCATCAGAAACTGGGGAGGGATTAAGAGGAAGATTGGATTTCTCTGCAACGCTAACTTTTTAGCACATTAGCTAACGTTAGCTTCCATAGCAAAACAAACAAGTGTGGTCCTCCTTTGTAAGATTGGCTTCCTGTGACATCATCCATCCACTGAGTGAGAGCATACGGGTCGGCCAGTCTGGTCCCGTTGGTCAGTGTTTACTTATTCCAGTAACACTGGCGGTCCCGGAGAGTGAGTGACCTGACATGGTGCGTTGGTAAATTCAGTCTGACGCTCTACACTAAAATGAGAGCCCTGTTGGTGGAAGAAACGCAGCGTTATATTTCTACATGAATGAACCAACGGTTGAGTTAATCACACATTCACTCCGCTCGGCGCTCTGCTGCTCCGTCTCCACAGACACAGTGTCCAGAGTGCGCTCTGCCACTCTGAGAGTGCGCTGCTCTGGATAACCCAACGCCCATGCTCCGGCACTTGGGTAAGTATTTCTGAACGCACCACTCACATCATCTTCCTCCATCTTCTAAAACAAGACAACAGAACCTCTTAGCTAGCGCTACCTAATGTCTGTGGAGAACTGTTTTGCCTCCAGCTAAGCCCCGCCCACCAAAAAAACGTCATACTGTTTACAAACAGTAAAAGCTCTATACAGTCAATCAGACCCAAACTGGCCGAGGCGCTCTGAGCATGCTCCACAGTTTCCGCCCCGGGCTTTGACCCGGACGTCCAAAAGCGTTAAATGTGTAAGAGAAGAAGAAGCCGGTAACAACATGGGCTGAATCCAAATGTCCACCCTCTGGACCTGCAGACTGCAGGCGTACGTAATGTGACGTCACCATGTAAAGTCTGCAGCGTTATAAAAGGATCTAACAGACAGGCTTGAAGTCTGTGTCACTCATTTACGTGGGAACATTTGAGAGACCATCATGCATACAGTGATCAGACTGCACAGCTTCTATAGGCTAGGCTGCAATATTAAGATGCATATTGATTATAGTCTATAGCCTGTACTGCTACATATATCTGTATCATGATGATGTTGAATTTTAATCTGGCCTATGTTATTCAAGTAACGTTTTAACATCTTCACTGTTACCATGGAAACATACTGAGTGTTGTGCAAGTCACAAATAAGTTTTGGCACTCAAGTCCAAAGTTCAAGTTACCTTTGAGTTAGAGTCCTAAACAAGTCATTAATGCACTCTCACCAACTGTTTGACCATTTTACTGACAGTAAGAAAATAAAAATGAATGCTTTTTATAATTAGTATTTTTGTGTTAAGTTAATGCACACAGGCCCGGTGCATACAGCTTGGAAGGGAAGGACGTATGCTGCGTTTGCTTTTTACTCGGAGGTCGGAAGTCGGACGTGGGAATGAGTTGACAACAGTTTTTGCATTCTAGTTGACGACGGTGGACAAGTCGGAAAAAAACATGGACGCCCGCAAGAAAGCCTTTGTTGCCTGTGCACTTTGGGAGTATAGACAGCTTCAAAACCATCATGCACTTGATGGACTAAGAGTCTCCTCCTACTCTCTAATGTGCTATGTGTGAGCTCAGTCCTGCGTGTTCTTTAATGAAGCAATAGGAGAAGATATTCGGTCTCAGTTAATGTAGTTTATTAAGCAGTAAAGGAATAAAATTACAGAGCTCTGGGTCTCAACTTCACGTCCCTGACGAACAACAAAGGTGTGTCAGTTCACGAAGTCTGACCTCCTGTCCTTCCCCTGACCCAGTATATTTGAGCGTAACAGAGTGTCATTGTGCACGCAAGGCGTTGTCCTCTTCTCATTGGCAGTTCCACTTCCTCCTTCACCACACCACGCCCCTGCCTCTTGTTAATCTGACTCCTTCCCGCTGGCGGTGGGGGCGTGGTTCCTGTTTTGAAAGACAAGAGAACAACACAACTCCCTACACGTGCTGTACCTTACTATCTGTATATCACTTTCTATTCTTTTTACCATATATGAAACTAATTATCTAAGCATTGCGGTATGTGCTCCTCAGACTTCATGTCTCTTCCTCTCCTGTACTTCTCCACTTCTGCAAAGCAAACACATTCAGATCAGCTGAAATCATCTCAGTATTCTCATTGTTCACACATCTAAAACTTATATAGTGAAACACAACTTATAGTAAAACACATAACATCATTCTATTCCCAACACACTCCAACTGATGAACGCTGCAGATGAGGCTGACCTGATGTGAGACACATAAAGCTGCTATAAACAGTACTCACTACGTATGTGACCGGCAGCCATCTTGAATTCATAAGTCAGGGATGATGCGGTTGCTCCGAGTTTTCCGAGTTGGAAAAGCGTTCGAGTTTAAACTTCTGACTGGGAACTGGGGATTTCCGACCTCCGAGTACAAAACGAACGCACCGTTACACACTCACTGGACCTGCATGTGTGCTCAGTGTTGTCAGTCTTGAATCAGATTGTGAATCTGAACTGGCTCCTGAGGTGCATCGTCTGGTCACATGATCAAATAGAGACTGTTATCATCAGCCATCACTGCAGACAGTAAGACATCATTTATCTAAAGGTTATTTTGATCAGTTAATTCATAGTTGTTATAGTTTACATAGAGGACATACAGCCCCCCACCCTACAGACCCCTGTATTCACGCCCCTGGATTCAGTATGTTCTCGCGGTTTTAATTTTGACCCTCTCGGCCTTCCGTACCTGCGCCGCCTTGGAGCAGCTGTCAGAGGAGCTGCTGTCAAAGCAGTGCTAGCTCAGCCGGCTAGCTTGCACCTTTGAGAGGGTAAAAACCAAACATGGCGGGTGTGCACCCCCAGGTAAGCAGACTGCAGGTAACACCGCGGCTGTCACACACTGTTCGCCCCGACAGGTGATACTTTTAACGGCTACATTAACGGAAACTGCGGCTAACGGGAGCTAACGTATCCCGAGCTAGCTAGCTAACGTTAGCTCAAGTCAGCTGTGTCCATACTGTGCTGCTGCTGCTGCTGTTGGGACGTGGCAGCATAAAGGCGTCATTAAAGACAAGAAGCGGCTGTTTCGTCACATGTTGGGGTTTTATTTTGTCTCGTCAGCGGGTTATTTGTCATGTAGCGCAACGAGCTGTGTTAACCTACTTTAAACTGTCCAGTGAGACCCACAGCTGCTATTTCTGTCCCTGCCTCTCTATTCCAGGACGACCTGCTGAAAATGACACACAGAGAGAACTGGAAGTGAGTAGCAGCACTTTGTTTCCCAGCATGCACCACGGAAATGTGCTCATGTTCATCCTGTGTGCAGGAATATGTGATGAAGTCCTGATGTTGTCTGCATTGTGTTGTCCTTCACCCCCCCTCACACCTCTCTGTTGCTCCTGGCTCAGGGTGCAGCATGAGCGCCTGCACGTGAAGCACAGGGGTCACGAGGCCATGCACGCAGAGATGGTGCTGATCCTCATCGCCACGCTGGTGGTGGCTCAGATCGTCCTGGTGCAGTGGAAGCAGCGGCACCACCGCTCCTACAATGTGAGTAATGGTGGAGGAGGAGGAGGAGGAGGAGGAGGAGAGGTGACAGACGTGGATATGAAGGATGATACTGACCGTCTGTCTGTGTCCTCAGCTGGTGACGCTGGTCCAGATGTGGGTGGTTCCTCTTTACTTCACCATCAAACTCTACTGGTGGAGGTTTCTGTCCATGTGGGGCATGTTCTCCGTCGTCACCAGCTACGTCATCTTCAGAGCCACTCGCAAGCCGCTGTCCTGCAGGACACCCAGGTGAGAGTGATGGTGGAGACTAATGTCCAAATGTCTTTGTGGGTGTGTTCCCGAGCAGTCCACAGGGGCCTAATGTGGACTCCCTGCAGACTTCCAGAGTCCACTCAGGGCACAGACTTCATGACACTGTAGTTTATTTATCAATAGCTGACTATAAAACTTGTGTGTATGTAAAAGAGTCAGAATATTAAAACAAGACTTTAATCATGTAGGTCAGAAACAATATTCAACATCATGATACAGAAACATGTAGAAACATAGGCTCTTGTGATGTCACTAACAGGCCGACACAGTCATGTCTGTATGTGTCTGTCTGCAGTCTGTATGTTAGACAGACGTTTATTTTGTTCACTCACAAAATAACCCTGAACACGAGGTTTATATCTTGTAGTTGTCGCTCTAACATTTCCATGGTAACGAGTAAAACAGTCCAGAGGGCTGTCTGTCAAGGTGCGGACACACCAAACCGACATCAAAGAACTAGCAGCGACGAAAGCCAACTGTTGCGTCGTCTACGTCGCCTCACGTCGCCCTGTGTCAGTTGCATTTGAACACACTACACGGACTACATCCGACGGCCAAGTAGCACGTACGTTCTGCGCCTGCGTGAGAGAGAGCGGAGTGAGAGAGTGGTACATCCTGTCAGCCGAGGGGTTTCCTATCTGTGCAGCCGAGCACCGCAGCACCTCCACGGACTATTACATCCAGACGGTCCCGGTGTTTCCTCCGCAGGCTCCACTTCACTCAGCTGCCCGATAAACCCGCTGCTTCTTCCCACTTTAACCTGAATAACAAACCAGGGCTCGGTGCTCCGGTTGGATCCAAACGGAGAGCCGGAGCTAGCTCAGAGACTAGCGGAGGCTAACTGGCTGTGCTTCCCTCCGGTCATGCTGCGGCTAATGCTCCGCTAGCCGCTCCCAGCTAGCTCCGGTTTGTTATTCAGGTTAAAGTGTGAAGAAGCAGCGGGTCGGCATATAGGTCCACAGTAACTTATTATCATTATTATTATTATTGGGTCTTATAAGAATGGGCTACAATGAGTACCAGGCCATCAAATCATAGCATCCGCGGTGAGAGGACACGGAATCGTGTGCGCTTTTACGCATGCAGGTCAAGGCGATCACAGATATTTGATGTGGGAATGTTGTAGCCAGATGTATTACCTGTTTTTAAGCGGCACCAAGATACGTGGCTCGTCTGTCTGTCCGTCCGTCCGTAGCACGAGTCATGTGTGCCACTTCACCACCGACCCGTGCGTAAAAGCGCAACAATTCCGTGTCCTCTCACCGCGGATGCTGTGATTTGATGGCCTTGTACTCACTGTAGCCCACTGGCGAACGACCCCTTTCACGAATGCGCCGTTTAAATAGAATGGAGCACGTAGGCAACTGACCTGTTACCAAACCTGGTCTCACACCATTTCTTGTCATATTCACAGTTAGTCAACAATTAGTATCACCCCCCCCCAAAAAAAAAAAAAAAAAAAAAAAAAAAACTGTACTAATTTTTCAGAACCGTTTATGATCTCAAACACGTGTAAAGGTGTACACGGACTCACCCATATGACACATCAGTTTAGTTTTTCCTGAATATTTGGGGGGAACTGTAAAACTACATCACTGAATTTATTCTTACATTAATAATCGAACATTTTTACGAATGTGTCACATGGCCAAGAATATCGTTATCACAGAAATACTCTGAAATATTGTGTTGTTATTTGCATGATTTTTCAGGATGGTGTACAAGTGGTTCCTGCTCATCTACAAGCTGAGCTATGCAGTGGGCGTCCTCGGCTACATGGCCATCATGTTCACCATGTTCGGCTTCAACGTCTTCTTCAGGTGAGAGAAAATCGAGCTCCCAAAGCTCTGTCAGTCGTATAGGACACTTAAAGTTACCTTGCAGAGCAAAATGTACAACTGTTTTGTCTTACTCTGGACATTTAAACTTTAAACAACTGTCTTCAGGTCTGTCTCACAGGACCATCCTTCATCTCTGACAAATTTGTACCTTTATTTTAGTTTCCTAACACTTTTAATTACCATGGTGCACAAGAGAGACCTTAATGTTTGGCTCCCTAAGTCACGGAAAAGGTTGTTGGACCCAGATATTGATGAGTGTGAATCAGCCCTCGGCCGTCAGCTTGAGGCTGTAGTTGAAGTTTATGTCTTTTAACACAACAGTTTAAACTGTTATTATCATGGACACATTATACAACTATGACATATCTGACATCCTCTGGCCATCACACTTCTGGAAGGGGATTTCATCTGCAAACACAATCACACGTAACACAACTGCAGTGTGCAGGGTACTGGATTCATTTGGTTTAATGTGTCAGGTTTAGGCCTGTCACGATATGCGAGAGGTCGGTTAATTGCATGGTAAATTAAAAGGGAGACAGTAACTTTTCCTGCCGCGATTAATTGCCGTATCCATGCGTGTTTGTTTTCCTCGTCTCTCTCCACCAAAGAGACTGGACGACAAGAGCGTTCACTGCCGTGCATCGTCTGGCAGCCAGGTGAGCTGGTTCATTAGCGTAATGAACGGAGGGAAAGCTCTTTGTTTTTGTCTCTGTGGGGGAGGCGGGGCTATGGGCTACACACACACACACACACGAGGCAGAGAAGAAGTCAAGTCAACTTTATTCGTGCCATCCAAGATTTTATGTCATTAATACGTAGTCATAGTGAATTCATGCTGCAAGGATCTGATGGTTTCAGCGGGAGGTACAACTGGGAATCATCTGCATAACAGTGATAAGATATATTGTCTTTCCTTAGTATAGAGCCTAATGGAAGCATGTATAGTGAAAATAAAATTGGGCCTAAAATGGAGCCTTGGGGAACACCATAGGAGATGGTAGCAGAGGAGGAGCACATATTTCCAATTTGGACAGAAGAAAACAGAGAGATAGACAGGGAACTTGTTCCTAAACCAAACACCACGGCCCCTGTGTGGGAGTGTTTTGGATTTAAACCAAATGACAGAGGGGAGCCCAGTAATTTGGACGAGCCGGTGTGCCGGGTTTGTTCTTAAACCATCTCAACAAAAAGAGCGAATACGACCAACTTAACTGCACACCTGAGAGTGAGAGACAGTCTAGTTTTGTATAATTTATTTTGATATTTTTAAGTTATTTCGGACATTTAATTTTTTTTTTTTTGCATTCCTAAATATTCTTGTTAAGTAAATGTTTATTTCTCTTTAAAAGGGTGAACTTGCATCATTATGTCTTTATTATCATTATATACATTTAAAAAATGGTCTAAGAACAGCAAAATTTGTTATCGTGACAGGCCTTGTCCGGTTGCTCATATGGAAAGAGGAAGTTATGTCAAATTCTTGCTGTTTTATTGTTCTTATTTTTTCCCAGTTTTCTAATATAATTTAAATTTTATTTAATGCTTTTATTTTCTTCTCGTTCAAACAGCATTAAAACAGGCAACAGAAGTGAAACAGATGTGACGGGAGAGATTACGTGACAGTTGTACACTAAAGAAAAAAGAAAAGAGACACATAATAAAATAAAAATAAAAAGACAGAAACTTGAATACAAGAGGTTAAAGCATCACATAATGAAACACAAGTAGTGACATTATTTTGTAACTGTTTTTTCTGATCAGGTTTGAAAGAGTTAGACTAATGTAGATTTACAGATATTAGTGATTTATTTCCTTGCTATCACCAGCAGAGGTGATTTATTGCTGAGTCATTCTTGAGTTAATGACGTTATCCTCACCAACTTTCTCTCGGTGAGGATAACGTTACACCCCTAGTTTTGAGTTGTGGGGTGGATGAACGATCAGTCGTTATCAGTTGATCTGATCAGAGCTGATCAGGTCAGACGGATGAGAGCAGCACCTGTTTGTGAGTGAAAGCAAACTTTAGACCCAGCTCACTGAAGGTTAAGTTTGACTCTCACCGCGCCTCCGTCTGCGGAGTAAATAAGAACCAAATGGTGTATAAATTCTAACGGCACATCTAATGAACGGTCCAACTCCAAAAACAGAAAATCTAATTGTGGCTCAGATGTTTTAATCGTGGCAGCCTGCCACAGATAAATTGATATGTGCGAAACACTGAAGACATTCAGTACAGTCCTGCTGTCTATTTAAATCAAATTGTAAAATTGCCCATCACACGTCTTTAAATGTCGTGTTTTGCTCAACTAAAAGCTGAGGTGATTCAGTGTGTGGTGATATATGACAAAGGAAAGCAGCAGATCCTCAACTAACAATCTTAAACTACAGAACATTTCAAGTAATATTGTGAGAAACAGTTGCTGCTAATTAGATCCCTGTCTTTACTTTTAAAGCTTGATGAAGACACATTAAAGCCTCAGACTGTGACTGGAAGTCACCTCTGCCAATTTAAATGTCTCTCAGCTCAGTAAAGCACCGTCTCTGTGAGCTTCATTGGCAGGACAGTGCACGTGAATCATCTCCACTCACTCAGAGAAAGCTGGTCTTTGTCCCTGTCTGTCTCTGTGCAGGATCAAGGCAGAGGACTCCATGGACGTAGGTGTGATCATGCTGTTTTATGGGCTTTACTACGGCGTCATGGGACGAGACTTTGCTGAAATCTGCTCCGACTACATGGCTTCTACAATTGGGGTAGGACTGCTTTTTTTTTTTTGTAATTGATTTCTCGCTAAAAATGACAACGTGATACACGTATTTTTAGACTCAGTGACAAATGGGTGATTACAGATCATCATGCTTAGACATAACTGTGGGGGTCCCACAGGGGTCAGTATGAGGCCCCACGGGGGTCAGTATTAGGTCCCACAGGGGTCAGTATTAGGTCCCACAGGAGTTAGTATGAGGTCCCACAGGAGTCAGTATGAGGTCCCACAGGGGTCAGTATGAGGTCCCACACCTCCTCCTCCTCCGAATGATTTACTGTCCATTACTACTCATACATGAGAGCAAGGTATTGATATTGTTATTGATTATAGATGATATCACAGATAACTGTCCTGTGGATATTCCTTTAGATATAAACCAGGGTGTCTGCAGGTCCTTGAAAAGTCTTAAATTCAGTGTAGCAGCAGTAAGTTCTTAAAAGTCATTAAACAGTCTTAAATTTGAAGGTGTGAGGTTTTAACTGCTACAAACATTTTATCTAATTTTATTTGTGTTAACCCTTCGTCTGTGTGTGCGTGTGTGTGTGTGTGCGTGTGCGCGCAGTACTACAACAAAGGAGGCATGCCCAGCAGGAGTCTGACCAACGACATCTGCGCGGTGTGCGGACAGAGGATCCTGGTGGACGTGGAGGAGGAAGGGTTTATAGAAGACACCTACCAGCTCTCCTGTGGACACATGTATCCTCACACCCAGCTGATGGTTGTGTGTGTCTTGAGCCCTCACGGGGAGGTCAGAGGTCACAGACTGAGAGAAGACAGTCTTGGTGGGGAAGAGAAAAGAGAAAGGATCAGAGAGGTGTGAGATGGAGAGATGGAGGAGGTGAATCCAGGTGTTGTTAAGGGAAGATTCTCCACGTTACCAAGAAGCCTCGAGTGTACGAGGATGTTGTTTTAGAGGATGAGTCACCATGACTCAGCAGTTTAACCTCCTCTAAACTCTGGAGGCCTGTTGCCTCAGCGTTCTGAGCCCTCTGCTGTGATACCGTGTGCTCCTTCTCTAAACACAGAGCTCTTCACTAGGTTGTAGGGCTGGGTGACATGGACAGAAATTCATGTCTTGGTATTTGCAGGCTGACGAGCGATACGTGATATACATCTCAGCATTTTCTACTAAACAGGCAACACGTGTTCAGCTGCAAGTCAAGGCCACATTTAAGATGTTGCAAACACTTTTATAAAATCAGACTGTGACAAATACAACATGCTAACGTTATTAGCACAAGCCTAAGGCTTTTTACATTGTATAAATTAGCCTAGCAGCTAGCTGAGATTTTCTCTGCTCATATTTCAGCTTATAAATCACACAAGACTTTATTGTCTTCACAATTTATTGTTTCTTATCTGTGAAATTAAAGTAAATCAAAACTTTGTTTCCACTGAGGGAAATGGTTTCAGCTTACAGAAAAAAGGACCCGTACAGGACTCTGGGCTGTACCTCCAGCAGCTAACTAGCTAACCCTACACTTGTTAGGGTTTGAATTTGGTTTTGGAGCAGGGGAGAAACATGTATCTTCTTCCAACCTCTCCTGGTTACGAGCATAATTGACACCAGCATGCTCCAGACACAGTGTTCAACTCAAGATCCACAAAACCAGCCTGAAAGTGAGGTGAATCTGAAACAACTGCACGAGAGTATATGGAGCACAGCTGTGTAGCTGTTGGACCCTGGTCGGAGCTGATCAATGCTACGCTATGATTGGTTAGTCTGTATCCAGGAGTGGGACTTAGTTTGAGTTTATCACAGTGGTGCCCGCCTGTCATTGTCACCACGTTTTGGGCAGGGGAGCAGTGGATGAAGATTCGCAGCCTCTTTCATCACTGAAAAACAAAACTCTGTTTCTTCATGGCTCCAGAAGTGAGACCCTGTCGCTGCTGCCGCTGTTTGTGTTTCTGTTACATCACTTGGCTGAAGCCGTGTCTGTGCAGGTAGTTGGCGGATAGGTAGGATAAGGTGTACCTGCAACAGTATCCCAGGTTCTGTCTGTGTACTCCAGGTACCATAATCAGGTTTCTAATAAACAGGATATATAGTGTTTACGTGCTCAAACTCATAAAAGAATTTCTCCAAGAACCTGATCATAAACAGGATATTCGTGTCTGTGTAAACGTACTCAGTGATAAAAGTGGCAGAATTCATGTATATTTTTAAAAGACTGGCTCCTTAATTTCTGAAGTAGAAGTAGACCAACGCAGCCTTCTCATTTCCATCTTAATGAAATGACACTGTATTTTTGCAGCTGTAAAAGATTTGTTGTTTGCTTGAGCAAACGCACATCACGGTCAGTTCAGTTCTTTCAGGCTCAAACTGTGGCTCGTGCTAATATCCTAGTTTTCTGCCAAATATTTACGTGATTGGTTAAAAGAAAAAAGTGAAAATGCCAATCACAGACTCTGCGAGCAGTGTCACTTGTTTTGTCCCAAACCCAAAGATATTCAGTTGACTGTCAGGTGAGAGAAAGAGCAGCTGCAGATCTGTAGTTTTGTGAAGCTGAAACTGATAAAATGACTAAATGATGAAACGATTATCAGAATAATAACTGCTGGCTGATGTTCTGTTCATTGACTTGTTTTTGCCGTGTCCTATTTTAGACCTTGTTGAAACATCCACTGTAACCTCCCAGTCTCCAGTGTTTCTGCCTTAACTTGCCCCGCCCCTTCAGATTCCACGAGTTCTGCATCCGCGGCTGGTGCATTGTGGGAAAGAAGCAGACGTGTCCGTACTGCAACGAGAAGGTTGACCTGAAGAGGATGATGAACAACCCGTATCCTTTTCCTGTGTTTACTGTGTAGTGGTGTCCAAACAGAGCGAGACGACAGAACAGAAGCAGACACACAGAGCTCTGCGTGTGATTACAACACAGCAGAGTCTCTCACTGACCAGCACACAGAGATGCGCTTCTGGTGTGAACGGCCAGGCAGCTGCACAACAACTGACCTGTCAGGATGGCGGTGACACTTGGCGTACCAAGGCCTTTTCCCCCTTTGCCTCTGCCACCAAACCTGTGATTAGTCGCCCTGTTCAACAAGCCGCTTCTTCATTTAGTTTATTTTCAACTTATTTAATTTGAAGTGTTTTTCACATGTAGGCTGTTAAATGGCTGCTTAAAACGTATGGCTAGAAATCTGTAATATTAGCAGCTGTTAAAAAAAAGTCTACTAGTGTGAACTCTGCTCGGCATCATGATGTGCACCCTGTTAGATTTTAATATCAGGTTATTGTTATGCATCAGAGTTTAGACTAGGGGGGAGAGTCACCACAGGCCCCAGGATACGATATTATCACGATACCTTTGTCACAATACAACATTATTGCACTATTCCCCGTGTCAGCGTGGGGTTCCTCTGGGTGCTTCGACATGTTTTCCCCACATCACCGCTACTTTAAAATCCAGCAAACCATGTTTCTTCATCTCATTCATCTGAACTTTCCTTAATTCCTTTACCCAATGCCAGCTGGGAGAAGACACATGTCCTGTACGGGCAGCTGCTTGATTGGCTCAGGTACCTTGTTGCCTGGCAACCCATCATCATCGGTATCGTCCACGGGATAAATTTCTCCCTGGGCCTGGAATAGAGCCCTGAGGAACACCGGAGTCAAGAAAAAAGTGCTGTATAAACATCAGCGCTGTGAGGACCTGACTCAGGCTGCTTCTGAAGTCTTTAGTTTCCTCAGCACATGTTGTTTGACTGAACGCTTGCACAGTTTCCAGCAGACTGACCCAGGTGGTCCGGGTGTCTGCGTGCAGAGGACGCCGCGACGCCAAAAACTGCTGCCGACTTGAACAGAAATATTTAAGCACAGATACAGTGTTCGATCATTTCAGAACGTTTTGACACAAGGAAGATGGAAACGTCGCTGTCATGCATGTTGTTTTTATTGTAATAAGTCATTGCTTTTCTTTGTACTGTATCATCAGAATGCCTTTTTAAACCGTTTGTAGGTTGCTTGCACACTGCTGGCTCTGCTGACACCACTAACTAACACGACCATGATCTGCAGATCAAATTACAAAATGGACGGTTCTGTCCAGAAAGCTGTGGTACACATGACCTGTTTACATTTCATGTTGCTGTGTTTATTACAGAAGTTTTATTTGAAATGTCTGTACTGTGAAGTCCAGTTCAGACCAAAGATTCATGACGAGACGAGTCGAAACAAACACCTACTGTCAACGCTCCGTTCTGTAACGTAGCAAAAACCTGCCGGCTTGAGTCGAGCTCAGACCACGATGAGACGGCGTATCATCTCTCGTCTGTACTGTAAAACAGTTTTGTCTTGTCATGAATCTTTGGTCTGAACTGGACTTTATGATTTTATTTGTATGAAGCTAAGATTGATGACGACTTGTTGTAGCAGGTGGAGTCAGAATGTCACTGTAGACCGAATCACCATGATTAGGGGTGGGAATCTTTGGGCACCTTACGATTCGATTACGATTACGATTCAGGGGCTACGATTCGATTATAAAACGATTATTGATGCACCTTTGATTTATGTATATTGATGCACTTTTTCACAACACACATTTCTTTTTTTCTCACTGAATAAGCATTCAACACTTGCAATTTTTAAAAACAGTGCATTTGTAATAAGAAAGAGTTGAATTCATTTCCATTATATTTTATTAAACATATAAATGGAAATGCGTGCAAACTGGAAAGTTATAACTTCGTTGTACAGAACCAAAGGTAACAACAGGTATCTTAAATCACAAGAGAAAATGCGCAGTTAGAGTAACAAATGATTCGGTGGCGACAGACGTCCACGCATCACATGTAACTGCGTTCCTACCTGCCTGCCTTCAACAGTGAGGCCATGACTTCTGTTTTGGTTTGATGGTAGAGTGTCGGTGAAATAGCGTCGGGATGGGATGGTTTATCTGGGCTCCAGTGTATGCAGCAGTGCTCGAAATCCCTGATTTTCCACGACAGAATAAGGACGCAAATCCTTGGCAATAAATGCTGCGATGGCCTTCGTAATTCGCTTCACCTTTTCTGATGAGGGTGGCAGCTTTCTAATTGCTTCCTCGATTGTTCTCTGGTCGGTAGCGCCACTAGTAGCAGCAGCAACAACAGTAAAGTATTTTATTTTAGCACGACACAGCTTACATATAACGTGGCTCTTGTCCAGTTCGCTTCCGCCGTCAACGTTATAGAAGCCGAAGTATTTCCACACATCTGCTTTTAAATTAGAAGAAGCTGTTCAGCTCTCACGGCGAGGTGGGTGGCGGTCAGCCATGTTTGTTTTCCTTTGTGCGCGTGTCGGCGTGTCTGCTCCAGGTGCGCATCCCAAAGTGTCCTGGAGATGACACGTACCGCGCTTCTTAGTTCCGCATCATTTAGAACCTCCTGTATTACTCTAATTAACAGATTTAAATAATCGAAATTTGGACGTTTGTGAATCGATTCTGATTTGTCCACGTCCGAATCGCGATGCATCTAAGAATCGGAAATTTCCCCCACCCCTAACCATGACGTCACGCGAACAACAACAATCACTTCTGGGGAGACAACTGGCAGTTCATGACAGATATGTGAAATCAGCAAACTTGCTTATTTCTGTTGTCATTTTCAGCCGTAACTGCAACATTTAAAGATTTATAGTTAAACACGGTGGTGCGTCCTCTCTGACGTTTCTGCTGCGATTATTTTACGTGCTGTGTTTTGCTAGCATCACTCAGAAACCAAATATACCAGCACAGAAGCTTAGCAGTGTACTGCTGTGGACGAGGGCTGCAGGAAAACGCATCAGTACAAGGATACGCTGTATTTGGAATATATCGACTCCTCTACGATAGGTGGAGATATGCCCCCTTTCAGCTTGTTAGTATTGGACCTTTTTCCTGTTGACCTATTACGTCACAGACCAAACAATGGACAAACAAGTTAGCTACGGTTAGCTAGCAGCTAACTGCTACCATGGTGGACAACTTTACAGCTCTGTACATTTGGTCCGTCCAAAAAGTCACGGCTCTGCATGTAGATTTCTCCATGTTGTTACCGGCTTCTTCTTCTCTTACACATTTAATGCTATTGGACTTCTGGGTCAAAGCCCGGGGCGGAAACTGTGGAGCATGCTCAGAGCGCCTCGGCCAGTTTGGGTCTGATTGACTGTATACATGGCTTCAGTTCATTTCATGTACGTGACGCGGGCGTTTTCTTCCTGGAAGTTATTGTCAACAAGTATTGTGACTCGGTCTAATATGTTGCTGAGCAAGACATACCAGTGCAGCTGATCCTCCATGATGTAAACCAGTGTAGGAGAGAGTAAACTATACCTTTTAAGCACAGGCGTAGGTTTCAGGGGGACGCAGGGGACACGACCTCCTCAGCATTTACAATGTGCTTCTCTCCCCCAGTAACAATTAACTGTTTACTGGCGGGGAGCCTTCAAGGACCATGTTACAAAGATCAGACAGAAATAGGTGAAGTGTTAATTTCGTTGTTGTTCTCTCAACATGGCGGCATGTGCCCTGTAACTATGGTAACCACCGTTCAGATATTCAGTCATTGAGGTGTGAATGGGTTTCTATCAAATCCAGGAAGTTGTCGATCTGTCGGGAGGAAAGCTTTCTTTTGCCAAATCAAACTGACGTTGCTTTCTTATCAACACTGCTGCTGATATTAACTTTGTATTTATTAAATATTTATAAAACCAAGTTTAAGTTTCAGATAATCTGTGTTCACTGATGACAAAATGTGAGGTCACAGTTACAGAGAGGTTCGCTGAAGACTTCAGGGCGGGAAAAGATCATTTAAACAACAGTTCACAGACCTCTGAGGAGGGTTGCAACTGTGTGAGATTTTCACAGTACAATAAAATATACGGTTTATGGTATCACAGAATTGATCTCATTATCAGTCAGAATGAAAACAGAAGAGTTATTGTTGGTTTATTCAACAAGTTTGTTTGAGTTTGTGCAAAAAGTCTCCTCATAGAAAAGAACTCATATAAAGGAGAGACTCATCATCCAGTTGTTTTTCTTTCAATATCACAGATCAACAAATGTTCACTGTGTGATGACCGCCAACATTTATATCACGGTACTCCTCAAAATCATGTATTGATGCGACCCTACCTCTGAGTCACTCACTCACCACCCTTATTTCTAATTTAAATGATTCGAAGTTCTGGCGTTCTTTTGATGAAGTACAAACTGAATGTAAGTCGCTCTGGCAGTACGTGACCAAAAGCTTCCCCACTTCATGTATGGATCCAGTCGGTGTCTGCGGGGAGAGAAGATCACCTGCTCCAAACCACACAGAGGAACTTCAGTCCATCTCCTTTGACTCTGCCGCCACCGCTGACCAGAACAACACAAGCACCTTCACAACAGGTAGAGTCACCCAGAATTTAGTTTTGGAAATAAACATTTCTGATTTACTCATAACTTTACGTTTAATCTTAAGGTGTAAGGGTCAGCGAGGGAATCTCTGGGTTTCATGTCGGCCATTTTGAGGATGTATGTATGATAGACCCAAGATGGCTGATGTAACAGTTTCTGAAGATGATGGTTTATCGCAGCTTGTGTTTAACTTTTTGTATCTTTTACCTCGACTCTTGAGCTGCCTTAAAAGTGTGAATTTTCAAAATGTGGCATTAATAAAATCAAAATAAATGTACTAATAAAAGTCAAATATATTATTATAAGTACATTTTGACATTAATATTATAAACATACTGTTATTTTTAGGTTTTAAAGGCTTTTAACACTTTTTTTTTAAATGTCTGTAGTTGTCTTGTTTTCTGACATGGGGCACATTTAATAGATAAAACAATAAAAGCAGATTGAAGTACTTTATAAATCATTTATTTCATTATACATATAGAAATCATTTAAAAATAAGGTTTCATCACAAAAACAGGATTAGTGTGTTGATAAGTTATTATTTTATTTTTGTTTTTATTTTATTTTCTTGGGACAGGCAGACTCTTGATTGTATCCATAACTAAAGTTGATGAGGGAAATAGCAGATGGTGAAGAGAAAAAGCTTTCTAATAAATTAATTAAGTCATTTATTTCCTTTTCTTGTTCAGATTTTTAACTCGATGGTGAATCTGAAGACAGATAAGAGATTAAACTCAAATGTATCACTGCCACGTTTTATATTTTATTTGTTTTCTCTCTGTGTGAAACTCCAGTGATGTTGGAATGTATCAGATCAGTCCGATCAGCTGGCCAATCAATAATATCCAGTCAGGGAGGTGTGTCGGTAAAAGACTTCCGCGAAGGCTGCACTCGTGTATCCTCACTTCCCTGTCCTCTGAAAGCCTCCTCTCTCCTCGACTGTTCCGAGTGCATTTCATGAATTGAGACGTTTTACAAGATGGTGGGTATCAATCGATTTCTGGGTCAAGTGATTGAGGATAGAGGATGGAGGAGTCGAGGGGTATCTGTACAGATGTGAAGCTGTGACTGTATCTGACTGATGTTTAATGAAAGCTGTTGTCTTGTATAATATATGAAGCTTATAGCAAAGATACTGGATTACTACAGTCAGACAGTGTATTCAGCATAGACATAGCCTGTGTAGCTGAGGTCATAGGTCAAACTGATATGATGCTGATTTACATCAGAGTTCATGAACCATCAACATAAACTACAGATCACCTGTAGAACATTTTAATAAATTAATCTATCATAATTAAAACAACTGGAGACTGAAAACAAACTGATATATGGGTCTGATTCTAATAAATGGACATCATATGGGACCAGATGTGAGGTTTATGATCTCCTGTATGGACTGAATGTGCAGCTTGTAGTAACCTCCTGCTGCTGCATTGCACTATTTCATTTGCTTCATTAAATGTGAGGGGCCTTAGAGACTTGGTCAAAAGGAAAGCCTTTCTTCTATTTGGTAAAGGGCGAAAAGCACAATGTCTGTTATTACAAGAAACGTTCTTCTTCTGACAGATGTGAATTTTTGGACTAATATGTGGGGGGATAGAGTATTGTTCAGTCATGGAAGCAACAGGTCAGCTGGTGTTGCAGTTTGTCTTCACAGGTTTCCAGGTGATGTGATCACTCACAGAGCAGATAGAGAAGGACACTGGCTAATTGCAGTTTTGAAAATTGAAAGTCATTTTTTGATTCTAGTCAATGTTTATGGTCACAAATCTGTCGCACAAAATAGACAAATGCTTGAAAATATTATTACTGAGATAGCAGAACTGAAAACACTCCATCCTACATACTTTATTTTAATGGGGGATGATTGGAATATGTCACCTGATGAGTGGGAAGATAGATGGCCCTCTAAATTTGATAGTCACCATTACAACTCCTTTATGGAAGAATTCATCAGAGATAACAGCCTGATTGATATTTGGAGAAATCAAAACCCAGGGAAGAAACAGTACTCCTGGTACAAGCCCAATGGTACCACTAAATCTACAATTGACTACTGGCTTGCTGTGGAAACACTTGAGGGATTTATGTAGGTAGCCTCAATTTCCAAAGCTCTGTTAACTGATCACTATATAATTGAAATAACGTTAAATCCGAATTATGGAAAAAGGAAAAAACAAAGGTTATTGGAAATTTAACTCTAACTTACTTAACAATAAAGAATACTGTTCTAAAATAAAAGAAATAATAACTGAAATTGAAAACGGTGACAGCATAAATAGTTTCTGTAATAAATGGGAATATGCTAAGTACAAAATTAGATAATTTTCTATAAAAATGAGTAAAGAAATAAATAAAGAAATAAGAAGGGAAGAAAGCAAATTGTTTTGTGAAATTAGTCATTGTTGCAGCAAACCAGATCTGACTAGTGAGGACAAGGAAAAACTATTGCTTTTGCAATCCAAACTTGACAATATCTTTATGAAGAGAGCCCAAGGTGCTTTTGTAAGATCAAGAGCAAATGGATGGAGTAGGGAGAAAAAAACACAACATACTTTAGCAAGCTGGAGAAAAAAAGACAGGAAAATAAGGCGATTACAAGATTATTAATTAATGGAAGAGAATACAAGGATAACAAAATTATTGAGAATGAAGTTTTTATGTTCTATAGTAATCTCTACTCCTCGGTTTACTCTCCATTTGATTCAACCATCTTCTTTAGCCAAATTACAAATTTCATACCCATCATCAATGATACATTTAAAGAAACCTGTGATTCTGATTTAAAAATTGAAGAACTGGATGCTGTCAGTCTGAGACTGACATTAAATAAAGCCCCTGGCTCTGATGGGCTCACGGCTAACTTTCACCATTTCTTTTGGAAAGATATCAGAAGTTTACTGTTCAAAGCAATACTGGAATGCATAGAGAAACAAGAACTAATGCCCAGTATAAAACAAGGTGTGATAACACTGATTCCTAAGCACAACAAAGATAAAAGAGTTTTAGACAACTTAGGACCTATCACATTTCTTAATACAGATTATGAATTGCTTTCTGGATGCATAGCAGCTAGAATGAAGGTTTGTCACAAATTATTGATGAAACGCAATCTGGTTTTCTGGGTGGACGATCTATTCACAACAACATACGATTGGTTTTAGATCGGATTGATTATAGTCATGTATTGTCAGAAAAGGGGTTCATTCTCTTCCTTGATTTTTACAAGGCTTTTGATTCAGTCGAGCACCCCTTCATATTGAGTACTCTAAATTACTTTGGTTTTGGTCGGAAATTCATTAACCTGATTGGTATGTTATACAGGGACATAAATAGTTGTGTAGCTTTGGAACATGGTACCTGCCCTAGATTTAAAGTCAGCAGGGGTATTAGACAAGGTTGCAACAGCTCTCCCTTACTATTTATTCTGGTAGCTGAGCTATTATTGATTATGATCAAAAATAATGGTACTGAAGGCATAAACATTTTGGAAAGAAATATTGTAATTAGTCAATTTGCGGATGATACAACATTATTTTTAAAAAATGAAAGGCAAATTCCTAAAGTATTAGATTCCATCAACCAATTTTCCAAAGCAGCAGGCTTGAAACTAAATACTGATAAATGTGAAATATTTGCTCTGCATGACCAGCTGGCACGCTCAATCTGTAACACTGCAGTAAAAACACAAGTCAAATATTTGGGTATTGTTATCACCAAGAATAAAGATATAAGGGAGAGAGAAATTTTTTGTAAAAATGTGGATAATTGTAAAATGATTCTGAACTCTTGGCTGCAGAGGGACATTACTGTATTTGAAAGGGTCCTGTTATCAAAAATGGAAAGTCTGTCTAGACCTTTTTAGCCTGCTTTCTCACTTGAAATTTCAGATAAAATGACTAAACTTATCAACAGTATAAATTTTAAATTTATTTGGAAAAAACAAATGTCAGTATATTAGAAGAGCTGATGTGGTCAAGAATATTGAAGAGGGTGGATTAAATGCTATAGATTTCTTGGTTATGAATTGTGTTCTAAAATTAAAATGGCTCAATTCATTCATTCTGCACAAAAACTTCCTCTGGTTTAGCACTCCTGGTGCAATTTTTCAAAAAGTTGGAGGCATTGATTTTCTGTTGCGCTGTGACTATGATGTAAACTGCCTGTGAAATGATCAGATTACCACCAGCAAGTTCTCCTTTACTGGAACCTGATATATAAGCACAGTTTTACTCCTCACAGTTCACCCTTGTGGAATAACAGATATGCTCTGTCCAATCGAACGTTATTGTTTTTGGGAACTTTGTTGGATAACAGAATTTGGGCTGTATCTGGATGAACATGGTAACTTTTTAAATCATGGGAATTTCTGCGTTAAATATAATTTTCAATGCTCAACAAAAGAGTACAATAAAGTGATTAAATTCATTCCAGTTCCCTGGAAAACAATGACTCAACAACTAGTGGTGCATTCAAATGTTTCGTAAATGAGATCACTCTGTGTAGAAGGAGTCAGTTTAGGTAGTAAACAATTCTCTAATAAATTTATTAGAAATGTTTTAAATACACAGTACTATCCTTACCAGCTAAAAAGAAAATATTTTCTGCGTGATTACAATGACGTGGAGGCAAGAAAGATAAGGAAGAGATATTTATCTTATCCAATCCCTCACAAAGCTAAAGAGGTGACATTTAAAATATTAAATGATATCTATCCGTCTAACAACTTCCTACATGTAAGATTTAATTGGGACAACAAGTCATGTGGATTTTGTGAGAGTGACACTGAAACAGTGGAGCATATTGTTTTTGAATGTGATCACGTTAGGGAATTTTGGTCTTCTTTTCAAAACTGGTTGTTAACACATAACAGTGCACCCTTTGAACTGGATGTCTATTAAAGCTGGAGTACAGTTAGAGGAGAAGAACTTCTTGGTGAACAATCTAATCTCACTTGGAAAACTTTTTATTCATAGATGCAAATACGTCAAGGTGAAACTGCACATCATCGGATGGAAGAATGAACTCGAGCTATATAAGAAACCCCTGTACTACATGACAAACAAGAAGGCCCCAAACTGTTTTCTTTAATGGACTTATTTACTCTTCTAGAATGAGACCCACACATTGTTGTTTATTTGTTTTTGTTTTGTTTTATTGTGCTGATTTTTCTTTATAGAAGCTGATTCAACATCTTCAACTGTAATATCACTAACTGTGCCTTAAATGTTTGTAAGGTGATGATACTTGAATAAAATAAATAAAATAAAAAATCCTGCTGCTGCTGCTGCTGCTGCTGCCACCTGATGATCTTATCTGCTCTCCAGGATTATTAATCCTACACTTGGGAAATTCACGTCACAGCAGCTCAAAGCACGGGCAGAAAAAAAGGAGGGTGTCAATGTTGCTGGAATAAAAGAAAATTAAAGATTTAAAAATATATAATAAAAAAAAGTTCAGCGCAGTTCGTCTGGAGTGAGCCTGATAACATGAGAAGGGTACCGCCCAGTGGAAGGTTTTTTTTCCCAGTTAAAGGGTTGCCCCTTCCTGTTAAGCTCTGTTGTCAGACTTGTCAGTCAGGTAAGAAACTCACATTCTTTCTTCACATGTCCAGTTTGTTTTAACCCTGTCCTGTCTTCATTTGGACTAACACTTGGGGTCTTCGCGGGTCTTATAGAGCCGAATACCGTATCAGGGTTAATTATTATAAATACATTGTTGACATTTAATGTTCAGATAGATGTTAGCCTCACAGAGAAACACCAAACTGTCTAAAACTTGGATCCTCATCCTACAGGTTCAGTGTAGGTAGCAGAATTAAAACTTCCATGTGCCAAGCAAGTAGAGGAACTACAGTGGCTGATGCTACGTGACGTGCTGACCCATAAACACATAGACGCCGCACTGACTGTGGAGGGACGTGCCCAAAGCGCCGCCATCTTGGTAACTGTACAGGACCAGCAGAGGCGGTAGTGCGTGCACATCTATGAAGGAAAGAGGTACTCCACAATCTGAAAGTAGAATTATTCACTGAATTTTCGACCGATTTCCAAACGGTTTGATTTGTTAAAAACGTCACACATGTAGCTATGACACAGGATGCTTGGACATTTTAAAAATGCCGGTTTACTAACGTTACCCAAATATAAATTCTACTTAATGTTTTCAGCAGACAATCCCACGTATTAAACAGCTGCTTACTAGTGAAATAACTACTAATACACATAATTTAGGTTAAAATGCAATGTTATTTCATCTATAAACTGCCTCTGGTCTGAAAAAAACACAGACTTCAGACTGCAGTGCTTGACCAGTTAGAAGATTAATAATAGATATTGGATGTATTTAATATGTACACTCAAACAAATAACAGCATGTGATGGATCCTGTAAGATCCTGCAGACTGATAGTCTGCTGTTCACAAAGGGTAGAGACAGCAGATTTCAGACCTACAATGATAATAATGAGTGATAATAATAATAATAACGATAATAATAATAATAATAATAAAATGATAATAGCAATATTAATTATAATGATAGTGATCATGATAATAACGATAATAATAAAATGCAATATAGGCTATACCCTACAAGCAATTCTCTAAATAAAGACCTAATCACACCTGCGTGTTTTCTGGGTTCCTTTTGTTCTATTTATAACAATTTTTTCATTTCATTTATTTGTTTATTTGTACAGGGACAGTGCACATTAATGAACATTTCTGTAAATGTGCCAGTTTTAGCTGAGTAGCTAGTTTCCAACTGCAGTCCCCAGGCAAGGTGTTAAATGCCAGCTAAAAGAAAAAACATTACAATAGACATTTCATAATAACAGTAAAATATACAGCACAGCGCGTATAAAAGCACATGGATCAGAACAGAAGGCATAACACAGTAAAAGACAAGAAGTGACACATAATCACAATGGAAAGGACATCAAGCACATTAAAAGACAGGAAAATAAGCTTCGGCCGGCAGGTAGGTTACATCAGGCAAACAGACAAACATAGTAGCAATGCAACATAATGGCAGGACACCAGGAACAAAACAATACAGAACAATACAAAACAAAACGCAATGCACATTTAAGCAACATGTAAGCAAGCGAAACAGACAAGCAGATAGGCAGTCAAGCAGGCAACATGGAGGCAGAGAGGCACGCAAGCAGGTAGACAGAATTATATGATTAGTATGGACTACTGATTGTGATCGCAGGCCTGATCATCTTTTAACCTTATTTTTAGAGTGTGTTTGAAGGCTTTGTGTGTTTCAATATTGTGAATGTGTGGTGGTAAGAACTGAGAAGGTTGACTGGCTGAAGGAACTTTTTCTCAGTGGTACGATGAGGGTAGTTGTTGAGGCCGATCTGCTCAGTCTGCTGCTCAATGTAAAAAAGTCAGCAAGTGGTGGTCGAGACAAACCATGGAGAATTTTGAAAACTAGATTTATGTTGTGAAATTTTACAGTGTTATCCCGGCTTAAAGGGACACTGCAGTAATGGTAACGAAAATATTTCTTGTCCAGAACTTTTAGGGCTTGCTTATACACAGATACCCTTTTCCACCAAAGCAGTTCCAGTGCTGGTGCTGAGCTGGTTCAACTTGGGAACCAGCTGAGATTTGCTTTTCCATGGCTCAAGGTGGTTAGGGTGCCACGTCATTGTGTCACTGTATACATCAGTTACGTTCAACAACAACAACAACAACAACGATGGCGGACCACGTACTTGTGCAGCTGTTACTCCTGGCGCTACGAGGCCTCATCGGCATCCAAACACGGCAGATACGTCGTATTTGTGCTGCTCGACAAGATTTGTATGGACGGCAATTACGTTCCAGAAGACAGGTAATAACCTAACACAGTTTGTCTCTTAGTAACACTGAACGTGAGATTGTTACGTTAGCCTTTGTTGTAAGCTAACGTTAGCTGGCAGAGCACAGCTAATTCACAATGCAAATGTGGAACGTTATGTGTTGTGTACTTATTTAGACAACTGAGGGCTTATTGTAGTTTCAGCTGGACAACAGTGCTTAGCTCTGTGAAATGAACTCTACTATTTGAAATGCATGTAAACAAACTGTATGAAAATACAAGTCTGTGATTTATGTTTAACCTCATTTTCTTAACCCATATGCCTCACTAAGAACATCTGTCACTTAATTTTCTTGATAATTTTGGCTGTGTTCATATATATATATATGGCATCAATAGAACGTAATAAACTCAATAGAATGATATATTACACTTCAAATGTGCTGTACATTTCCTCATACATTAAATGTACAGCACATTCACATGCTATGAATGCAGATCTGCAAGACCCTGTTTGTATCTGCACATACACACATTAATGTACAGACACTCATGTGCATACACATTTATTTTTCAATACAAGCAAAACTTTATTAAATGAGGCATAAGGGTTAAATAGCATGATGGATATTGATTTTAGTCTTGATCACTCTGCACTCAACATGCTTATTTACCTTTTCATTTTTGTCCTACCCCATGCAGAGCTGGCTCATGAAGCCCTTTGCGGACACTGGCAGATTGACCCCTGAACAACACACCTATAACTACAGATTAAGCAGTGCACGGTCGGTTGTGGAAATGGGTTTTGGGAGATTGAAAGGACGGTGGAGGTGCCTCCTAAAAACCTGCCATTCAAATGTTTGTTATATTTAGTTCTGGTTGTGTATGCTGCACATGTTTTGGCTGCTACTCTCCATTGTTTTTGCTGTTTTGTTGCTGCTTACCTGACTCCTTTTACCTGTGTTTGCTGGACTACTTCATGTCACCAATACTGTTTCATCCTTCAGTTCAA